TCTGTTGTTTCTATAGTTTTGAAAGTTGTTTGCTCTGCACTTCATGTTTACCCAGGTAATATTTTATCCTTCTCTGGTATCTGATGGGGATTGAAGACTAGATAATTATACTTTTTTCTTTGTTACCAAATGCAGAAAAAGAAACTCACAAAAGAGGTATAAAGGTATAAAGTTGAGAGACATAAAAGCTTAAGTGGTTTATCTGAAAAAATGTTTTGAGGTCTAAAAAGGTTGTTTTGGGTTGGTAATTTAAGTTAAAATAGAAAGTGAATTAGGTACAAAATGTTGAACTCATCAATATAGAATAGATAATAGAGTAATTTCTCCAATTACTGGACATTGTGAATGTAATCCTTACTTGATAATTGTTCCTATTGTATATAGTTTTACTATGTTAGAGTTAAAACCCTTTCCTTGTAATTAGGCAAAAGGGGGGAAATATATTGTGAGACATTTGATTACACTGTAAAGATGTGTCTCTGCCTATGGTGCCTTCTGATTGGTTTAATAAAAAACTAAATGGCCAATAGCTAGATAGAAAATAGGTGGGACTTCCAGGGAGAGAGAGGATTCTGGGACAAACAGAGACAGAGAAGCCAGTGAGATACAGAGCAAGTGGGACATACAGAATGGAAGAGAAGTAAAAGCCATGTGACAGAACATAGATTAAGAGAAGCAGGTAAGTTTAAATTGTAAGAGCTGGTTGGGAAAAAGCCAAGGCTAAAGTCCAAGCTTCCATAATTAATAATGTAATTCCCTGTCACTATTTGGGAGCTGGTAGCCCACAAGAAAGACAAGCTACATATCTTTGAAACAATATTAACAAAGTTTTAACTTCTTTTTTTAATATTGGGTGTGTACATGGTGGGAAGGGTATATATGGAGGTCAGCAGATAACTGTGGTGGTCTGCTCTCCTCCCATCTTTATGTGGGTTCCAGGAAGCAAACTCAGCTCTTCAGGCTTGAGAACTGAGCTATCTCACTGGCCTCTCTCTATGTAGCCTTGGTTGTCATGGAATTCACTGTGTAGAGCAGGCTAGTCTTGAAATCATCTGCTTCTACTTCCAGAGTACTAGGTTTAAAGGCATGCACCACCACACCTGGCTCCAGTTGGTTTTCAAAATTACTTTAAGCTATGTTTCTCTAGTTTTAAGAATCTTATGAGTTTCACATATTAGTGATAAAGTATCTTATATACTTTGGTCTTCTCACTATCCACCAATCTCCTTTTTTCCCCTAATGCTATGCTGATGCCCAAAGTCAGGATCTCAACCAGGCTATCATCCAGTATTGGGCCAGTAAGCTATTTCTCCCAGGCCTATGAATCTACCTGTTAATCTTCACTAGTGTAATGCAGAGATTTCATTTTAATTTGTTAATGGGAGGATTGTATGTGTCTCTGTCTGTATTGTGTGCATATATGGGAGGGCTGTACATGTAGGTGCACAAGCAAGTAGAGATTAGACCATGATAACAGGTATCTTTCTCAGTCACTTCCTAAATACCTAAAAGTATATTTATTATTATTATTATTTTCCATGTGGATGTTTTGCCTGCATTTATGTCTATACACCATATGTATACAGTGTCCCCAGAGGCCAGAAGAGGGTTCTCTGGAACTGGAAATAGAGCAGACTGTGATCTACCATGTGGGAGCTGAGAATTAAACCTAGATCCTTTTGAAGAACCGCCAAAGCTCTTAATGTCTGAGGCATCTTTGAAGCCCTACCTCCACTTTATCTTTTGAGACAGGGTCTCTCAGTGAACCTAGAGCTCACCAACTCAACTAGCCTGGCTGGCCAGCAATCTTCAGGGATTTGCTGTTTTTGCCTTCTCCCCATGCCTGGGCCCCTGTGCTAGAACTATGAAGTGTGGGACCCTGTATGGCTTCTACATGGTTGACAGGGGTCTAAATGCAGGGCTTCTTGCTTGTGTGGCAAGCACATTACAGATTGAGTCATTTCCCAGCTTGTTCAAGTTCTTAAATTTGTATTTTATAACATACATACCTTCGTTTTGGGAAATCAGTTCACTTCATATTCTTTTTTATAATTTAACATCATTTAAATTCATTTCTACTTTGATGAATCTTTACCTCACCCTTTATATGATGGTATCCCTATGTGTGGGAAGCTTGTACTTTATTTCTAAATACATGTCTTCATGTAATGTTTTTTTAAAAAGAAGGTGTGTGTGTGTGTGTGTGTGTGTGTGTGTGTGTGTGTGTGTGTGTGTGTTTGCTATTAACTTGGTTACAGATTAAATTGAAATGTAATTTTTCTCCTCTCAAACTGTGAACCTCTACTCTATTATCTTTCTGGTTTTGTTACTGGTATCACAATGCCTGGACAGTTACATAGTATATTTGGAGGTTCAATTCTTTTTCCAGGATATACCCAAGCTTCATTGCAGTATTTACATTTTTAATGTGGCGGCTATAACTATGCTCCTTAACCTTTCCTGCAGTCTACCATAGGTCATTTTCAGAGCTGTGCTTTTACCCTGGGGATACTGAATGCAGGATCCTTTTTCTGGTTCTACAGAGTGTTCCCTGAGATTCCATTATTTGACTTTTTGTCTTCTTCTTTTTTTTTCATCAAGACAGGGTTTCTCTGTGTAGTTTTGGTGCCTGTCCTGGATCTCGCTCCATAGACCAGGCTGGCCTCGAACTCACAGAGATCCGCCTGGATCTACCTCAAGAGTGCTGGGATTAAAGGCGTGCACCACCGCTGACATTTTGTCTTCTTAATCATTTGTGAAATTTGTGACCTTGTTAGCATTACATCATCAGCTCTAAGTGTGCTTAGTGACCCAAAGTTGACCAAAACATCTTTTCTCAAAAAGTTTTAGGACTGGCCTAGGCACTGTCAAACAAGAGCCTGAAATCGTTGGCAGTATATTTACATACTCTTGCCTGGAGAGCTTTCTTTTTTGATATTTTCTCTAGTCCTTTCATTTTGAGCCTATCAGAGAACCTCCTATTGGCTCTATGTGTATCTGGACCAGATACACATTCCAGGGCATGATGGAGCAGGAACTGAAATTCACATCCATAGGGCAGGGATGGACAGTCTCTGCTTCCCAGCACAAAGCCCCCCAAACTTAGCTTTTGCCAGGCAGCAATCTGAAAACAGAAAGACAGAGACCTCCAACAATATTCCCAGGGCACAACCCCACACACTCTCATTAGTAGGAGTCAAAACTGAGAAAGTTACACCAATATAAAGCCTATAGGCTTTGTTCAGGGCCACTTCCAACATTCTAATGTGCTTGGCACTGTTAAGGGAGACACCTGTAGCTGAAGTGAAACACATTACTACAACATGCTTCTTTAGTAATTGTGCTGCCTAATTTCTATGTCAACTTGACATAAGCTAGAATCATTTAGTAAAAGGGAACCTCAGTTGAGAAAATGCCTCCATAAGACTGGGCTGTAGGCAAGTCTGTAGGGCATTTTCTTAATTAGTGATTGATGGAGGAGGACCCAGCCCATTGTGGGTGGAGCTACTCATGGGCTGGTGGTCCTTGTTGCTATTAGAAGGTAGACTAAGCAAGCCATGAGGAGCAAACCAGTAAGCAGCACCTCTCCTCGGCTTCTGTCTCAGTTCCTGCCTCCAGATTCCTGCCCTGTTTGAATTCCTGCTCTCACTTGCCTTCAATGATGAGTTGTGATATAGGTGTGTATGATGTCCTCCCCAAGTGGCTTTTAGTCATATTGTTTCATCACAGCAACAGTGCCCCTAACTATGACAGAAAGTACTGTAATCTAAATGTACTTACTAGAAGGAGCTGATAATTAAAATTTGGTCATCTTAACATGGTAAAATATATTTACCAGTAAAATCTACTAATTAAACATAGGACACAAAAATATAATATTAAATATAACAAATCAAATGAGCATAATGGATAAAAGCATACTTAATACTTATCTAATATTTTCTTTTAAAAATTTATTCTTTGAGAATTTCATGTGGATACAATTACATATACTTTCAATAAAAGTATCAATATATACACATAAATATATACTAAAAATCCATATTATATGGACATTATATACACATAAAAATGTTAAATTTTTCTTATGTAATGAATAACTATTGTATTTTATACATAAATTACAAATAGGGATTATATATGAAACAAAATAAATTGAAATAATTTACAAAAAAATTAGTTTCTTAGAGCTAGAAATAACGTGAGTAGACATGAATAAAAAATTAAATTAGACTTCACCTTCACCTGTAATATTTTAGTTTGCATACACAGTGTTAACAATTCGGATTCTTCATAATACTTAGACAGTTGTAATAATTCCCTTTATTATTTTGCAAATGTCCAATTATCTCACAAAAACTTAACCTTCAAGAACTGGAGACAATGTATTTCCTCTTGAGTTGCCCATCAAAAAAATCTGTTGTGACTGATTGCTAAAACAGTATTTGCGGAACATTCAGAAGCACAGACCTGGTCAAGTTGAGCCCCTGCTCTACAGAAGCCAACATGTGGTGACCTTTTCCTGGTACGTTCATCCATTCCCCCAGGCAAGATGCATTTTTGTCATTACCACACTTCAAGAAGGGTCTTGAAGACTTTGAAATGATCATTCTGGTTTCAAAGATGAATCAAGGGATCATATTCTTTTTCATTCTCAGTCTCTGACTCAGCTCTGTTGCTACTTTTGACAGAGCCTGGAAACTGCCATGTAGATAAGGCAGGCCAGGAACTTATAACTATGCCCAATCCACATTTTTTAACTCCACATACTGATGTGAGCCTGTATGTGGGTATGTATCTACATGGGAGTCCAGTTCTTATGGAGGCAGTTGGATTCCTTGAAGCTGGAACTACAGCCATTGTGAGCCACCTGGTTTGGGTGGTGGGAACAGACCTCAGGTCCTCTGTAAAGGCAGTATGTGCTTTAACTGCTGAGCCATTCTCAAGCCCTCACAAAGCTTTTTAAAAGGGAAATCCTTCTGAAGATGAGTGTATCTTACCTGCTCTTTCATCTCAGCATAGATCTTCTCAGAGTTCACTTCCACCTGCCGCTTAAACTCCTCCAGGGCAGCATCCGCCTGCTGGGCCTGAGCCCTCTGAACCTCAGTCACTCGGCTGAGCTGCTCTTCCTTCTCCCTGCAAAGTTCATAAAGCTCCAGAGTTACATGAGAAAGAACGAAAAGGGACTGGAGGGGGAAAATGCTGTAACTATATTTTAATTTCAAAAATTTTTTAAATTAAAACAAAAACAAAAAAAGAACTAGGCTTCAATAAAAGAACAAAATTAGCTCTTTCTAAAACAACATTCAAATTGCATTTTCTGATCCATATTCTATAAAACTTCTCTTTCAAAAGCTGACAGTTGAGCAATATATCTGGGTAGGGGAAGGGACAAAAATATACAATTTGTATTTTGATGAGGATATAACAACATTCAAAGATTCCCCTAAAAACAATCTATATGAAACTATGTATCTCTACCTACAGTTGACAGATAAAATGTGGTATAGCTATACAATAAAGTATTACTAGGCCTAAAAAGTAGGAACATTTTTATATATAGTATAACATATAATTATATGCATATAATCTTCAAAATAATAAAAGGAAGTAAAACAAATCAGTCATAAAAAAACATGTGATCCCATTTATGTAGGGTTTAAGTTCAGAACTGAAAACCCTATATTCAGAAAATCAATCTGTTGTTGGGGACTATGGGAATGTGGGGCAGGAGATTGGTTACTTAATGCATATGTGGTTGGTTTCCTTTGAGTCATGAGTATGATATGAAATTGGATGGTGGTAATAGTTACAAATTGCTGTCAAAATCTATCAAATTATGCTTTTTAAACAAGTGAGTGTAATGGTGCATGAGTTCGACTGCAGTTTTAAAAATGCATGTCAGGTAGAAAGACACATGCATACCATCCATTGTCCTGCAGATGGTCAAGGCAACAGAGCCATACAGCGGCCTAAAAAAGTTTTACTAGTTCCCTTGTCTAAAACTGACAGCCATAGCAAACATTCACACATCATACTGAAGCTGTTCATTCAAAGCAACAGAACTCTCCCCATGTTGATAGAAGAAAAACGCGAAACTGTTAATTTATGATGCATTCAACTTCTGAAGTTCTGACTAGGCTCTGTGCATTGAGCAAAATATTTGTGTATATCATTTTTCATTTCTCTTCACAATAAGCCCATGTGAGAATAACTTTGTCCTTCCTCTTACAGAACAGGAAACTGGAGCTTGAACACATTTCTAAGGTGATCTTCCTGTGAGAGTTCAAGCCAGGATAGCATGGTTGAGGTGGGCTTCCAGAGGGCTTGCTGGTGGCCGCCTCACTGTGCTGCTTTCCTTTAAACCCGGCTATCTTCCCTACTGGATAGTTCACATAAACACACAAGACTGCCTATTCCTAACTGTAACAATGAGTGATGTCCGAAGATAGCACACTTAACTCATGTAAATCAATATGTGAATTTTATTTTATTTTATTTTTGTTTTTGTTTTTTGAGACAGGGTTTCTCTGTGTAGTTTTGGTGCCTGTCCTGGATCTTGCTCTGTAGACCAGGTTGGCCTGGAATTCAGAGATCTGCCTGGCTCTGCCTCCTGAGTGCTGGAATTAAAGGTGTGAGCCACCACGACCTCCCGACCAATATGCGAATTTTATCACGATGGGAGGAAACAACCTTCCCAAATCATTATGCTACTGCCTTTTAAAAGGTGAGCAAAAAGAACTTGAGTTTTCTGGAATTAATCAAGTGTGAGGTCAAAAATGTCCCTCTAAGATATATCACTATAGGTTCTCTGATAAAAACATATATATTATATAAAATGTCAAACTTTCTCCCTGACTCCAACCTGGAAACCTTTCCAAAGCCTGAGTGGCCAAGAGACTGACAGGAAAAAGTGGCATGTAGCTTTATTTAAGCAGGGCTTTCCAGTCTCTTTATAATCAGATAGTATACGTGGGAGTTACCCTTCTTTCCAGACCCCATCACTACCCCACCCTGTGTTTGGGCATGGCACATCTGTACCTAAGGAACCCTTTGCATATGGGCTAAATAAACATAACACAAATCTTCATTTTCGTGTATGGTCCACCTGTATCTATTTATCCTTTCAAATCCTCCTCTGCATCTATCTCCTTGGACCCCTGATAATAATCACTGCAGTACACACCCATGACAAACCACTGTCTTCCACTGGAATCCCTCCTCCTCTTTTTTTATAATGATAGGTACCATTTGCATGCCCTGTGGGGTTTTAGGCTGCCCCACAGCATGTGACACCAAGCATGGGAACAAAGCCATTCTAGTCAGGCTGCAGGCCACATGCTACTCACAGTCACTGCACTTTACAGACTTCTGGAACTTCAAAAACCTTTCTTTCAGGTGTTTACCTCTCTCTCTCTCTCTCTCTCTCTCTCTCTCTCTCTCTCTCTCTCTCTCTCTTTCTCTCTCTCTCTCTCTCTCTGTGTGTGTGTGCGTGTGTGTGTGTGTCCCACAGGCACACATGTTAGTTCACAGAGGACAGCCTCAGGTATACTCAGGAACCATGCACTCTTTGAGCTGGTATCTCACTGGTCTGAAATTCATCAAGCAGGTCAGGCTGGCTGGCCCCGGAGCCTAGGGAGTTTCTTGGATCTGCCTTCCTACTGAGATTCAAGTGTGAGCCACCACACTTAGATGTTTTGACATGGGTTCTGGAGACTGACCTCCTGTCCTCATGCCTGCATAGCAAGCAAGTATCCACTGTGCCACCTCCTCATCCCCAGTGAGTTCATATTTAACAGAAAGGAAACTATCTTTTTGTCTACTATTTTTCCAACACATTTAAAAACAAATGTCTTCAAGGTTAATGGAGTTCTAAATAACAAGGTCCCAATATCAGTAATGATTTTCACCAATTAACATTATAAACTTTTAGATAATAGTGATTAATAGCACATCATGTGGAAGATTGAGCGCAAGACATCATTATATAAAAAGATCAAGCACTCTGATAGCTTTGGAGCTTTAGTGCATCTCCACTCTCTATAGTATTCTGCCTAAGAGTCAGAAAGCCTTGAGCTGTATGTACAACTCTGTTATAAACACTGAATAAATGGGTTGACTGTTAAAATATTTGCATATTGAAACTGCATATAGGAACACTGTAAAGTCATATAAGTGTATAGCCACTACAGTCTAAACTTCAGGAGGTAAATGGGTGTTGTCTGGTGGGATGGTCCTGAGTGGCAGCAAGAGGCTACTTGTTTCTTCTGTTGGAAGCAGGTGCAGAGAAATCCAGTTATGGTTGGTAATTGGCGACCCCATTTCAGTGTTGGGTTAGGCAGGGCAATGGCTGTTCATCCATTGCTTAGAGATTACAGTGATTAACCTAAGTCATTCTTTAAGTCTTGGGAAACTCTTAAAAACACTTGAGAAATGGTTTAGATGAAAATTCATCAAAGACTTACCTATGTTTGGTCAGTCTATATGTAGAAAAGAAACACTACTGGATAACATTTGAAAATAACAAATATTTAAACCATATAGTTTGAAATTATATACCATTAACATACCCAAAGAAAATCTATTAACAATCTTGTAAAAACATAGAACCCAAAGCAGAAATATGCATTTGGAAATTATTTTATTATATGTGTAATAATTCACATGAGGTCAAACACTTTAAATTTAATAGGGCAAATCTTCTCTTCATATCAGTTCAATGTACAACTAGGATCAGCATATAAAATCATAAACTTCAGTCATCATCAATATATTTTATAGACCATTTAAAAATGTTTAAATAAATTCTGAGCACTAAAGCATGTTCTCAATTCACAACTTCTATCATCATTGAGAACTAGCATTTAAAAAATATTAGCTACTCTAGTCACATAGTATAAAGCTAATTGTCAAAGAAGGTCTCACTCAATGCAAATCAGCATTTTTTGCTCAGTATGGCAAATACACTCATCTCCATTCATTTAGGATTCTTATGCCTTAGTGTAGATTGTCTTTACCTTAATTTAAATAAAAATGATCATTGTAATGAGCTCCATTAAACTTATACAAGGTGCTGAAAGAGAAGTAAAACTTTAAGCCTTTAAGTCAAAGGTCTGTTCCTTGAGGTCATAAGAATGCTGACTCTTTCAACCGTGACTCCAAATAGTACATTGTGCAGAGGCAAAACAGAAAAAAAAGTAACTTTCAAGATTATTTTTTCAGTGGACTCATGCATCTGAGGATTAATGCATCACTCAAATGCCTTAAAGCTGGGCTTCCATGAAGATAAAAAGGTGGAAAAAAATTTTTTTTTTTGAAATTTTCCTCATCTAAGTACATAAAGGATAAAGAAAAAAGAAGCTGCATTCTTACCAAGCCACAACTTAGCTCAGATTAAAGGATGCTCTGAAGTGCATGATTATTTCAAAAAGGGCAATAAAATGCAGGGGACTAATGGACTACAATTTGGTATTTCTTGAGCTTTACAAGCTAACGTTTATATGTGCAGGCCAAGCCTAATTTGAAAATCTTCCTTTGGCACATTTCTGTAGCAGCACTTTTGATAACGATGGCTGTGGTCCAACACATATTTATAAGGCTTCACATTACAGTACACTTCATTTGCTGCCAGCTTGGCATCCCCACTGGAAACTCCAAGAAAAACAAAACAAAACAAAAAACTTCAAACAAGCCTGGAAAACAGCTCGAAGTCTCCATTCCTTTCCATCTGGGCTTGGAACACAAGCTTTTCAAGAGGCAATATCACCTACCTTCTTGGCTGCCAATCAGAACTTAAATTAATTAGTCTGAGTCAGTAAAAAAAAAAAGTCATACCATTAACTGAGCATGATAAACAACAACAACAACAACAAACAAACAAAAAACACTGCTTCACCCTCTTCTTCATGAGACACACTGGCCTCTGCTAATTCATCTAAAACATGATGAATGCTGAAGAAATGCCAACACTTGATACTCTTCAGGGGTCAGAAAGGAATGTCTAATAAAATGAGCATCAGTTTTACTATTGACAAGATACCAATACTGAAGTCCCCAACTGACCTGAAGAGTTAACACAATTCATGTGTTCAAAGTCAGAGGCCAGGTTACACAAGCCTCTAGAGAAGGTCCAATAA